AGACTTTTATTCACCACGTTGTCCCATCTGGTCATATTGCACCACACATTACAATTGCCTGAAAATACCTTCATAAATTCATATTAAACTAGGCTAATGAATGCTAAAATTGGGCTCATAGCTCATGCATTAAAACAAGTTAAATAAAAACTGTTGTCCAAACAAACCCCAGAAATGTAAACACATGGTTAAGATCAAAAGCTTATGCATTGAAATCCAAAAGGTTGCTCTTTATATCTACCCTTCTATTAGTATCTTTTTAGGAGTTTGCCAATAAGACTATGACCCCAACACACACGTTTCTGGTAAGCTATTGCAGCCTACAATTAAGCTGCTTCTCGCGTTTAATAAATGTCTGCTTATCATCTGAACAGTACAGTAAAGAAGGTGTACGTGCGCTTATGTGGCTTTGTGTGCATATTCTGAGAAGAGCCTGGCACTGGCAGCTAGTTTACCTGAAAGCCCTTGAGGACAAAAACAAGAAGCGGGAGAAACACAGAGAGAGGAAATGGCTTTGACCAACATCTAGAAATGGATTTGTTATGCTCCATTACAACAAGTATGTACTGTAATACCCTGCTGCATAAAGAAGCAGAGTCTAAACCTGGAGGGTGACAAGACAATATAATAAGACTGTTAACTGAAGTGACTCCGAGAGAGCTGGTCTTCATCAGAAACATGTGGGCACCAGCTGCCATGGTGGAAAGTAACTGAGTACATTTACTCAAGTACTGTACTTAAGTAAGATTTTAAGGTACTTGTGTAATATGTTCTGCTACTTTATAATTATACACTTCATTTCAGAAGGAAATATTTGTTTAATTTGATTAATTATAGTACTTTTGACAGCACTACAGTAATTTTAACATTTTTAAAGCTTTAGTTACTAGTCACTTTGCAGATTAGGATTATTCTAAATAATGAGGTATTGTTATTGCTAACCAGCAATATATAAATAAGTTAATTAACTAGCTGCAACATTAAACTGAGGAACACAGTAATGCATCAATAATAGGCTTTTACTTTGGATACTTTTAATACATTTTGTTGATAATATTTTGGTTTACTTAAGTAAAATATTTGTAGTATTGGGCAACTTGGAGTATTATACACTGTGGTTTTGCTACTTTTACTAGTAAAAGATCTGAGTACTTCTTCTACCACTGACAGCTGGATATGGATGAAAATTAGCATCATGGGATAGCAGGTCTGAAACATTGTGATTCAGAACTGACTTTTTCTACTTTTACGTCTCTCTCTGAATCAAAAGTTTTTAATTTTGGTCAGCAATTATTCACATTCACTGGAAATATATCTAACCACTACACAGGATCCAGCACCAAAACATCAGGCTCAACCACACAGCAGTAAATCTTCATCCAGTGATGCCAAACCTCAGCGTTCTCGGTCCCTGCCGTATCCAATGGTGGGAACAAGCCTGATGGTGGGAGGTGGACATATTTATCTGGTAAGAAGAGTGTTCATAAAGCAGCTCTGTGTGATAGAAAGCAAAGGAGGAGATCAGGGAGGAGAAGAGATAAAAAAGACTGTTTACTTTTAATCAAGACTGAGTTTGACATCGCTGCAGCAAAGAAAGACAGTAGGAGGATGAGAACACACTGAGTTGATAATAATGTTATACAGCAACATTGACCTTAATTTCATCAGTCATCAACTGCCTATAGGATGAAAATTGCTCTCAGGCCACAGTTACAGTAAGACTTTGTCCCAGTTTTGCTCCTGAACACTTGCCCTTGCTCACGGGTCACTCTGCATTTGGAGTGGACTCCCAAAAACAGAGCTGAGTGGTCATGCTAAAATAACTTGCACACATCATCAGAAGTCAGCAAAGGAGTGGAAAAAAAAACCCAAACTTTTTTTTCTTCTTTCAAAAGCAGACCCAACCCACACATAACAAACTTAACAAAATGTGTGCATGGCGTCCATGGTGTTTAAAG